GTTTTGACGAAACAAAATGGAAAAGCAAAAAGGTTTATAGTGACGTTGGCAAAGCCGCTTTATATATTTAGAAGGTGGACTGTATTATATCGTTAGGTGTGGGCTTAACGATTAGTTTGTGAGTTAGAATATCCAGTTACTCTGGCGAAGCTTGGTTATTTTGGTTCAAAATAATTTGAATGACAAGGAAGCATCATTATCAAGATTACAGTTGACTATCTTTCTTGATCAGGTATGACTATAATTGTTCTTAGCGGTAACCCATGTTTTTCTATGTTGTTTAGCATTTTTTTTTCTGTCTTTTGGAAGTGCGTGTGATTAGTAGGAATGTTTTACATTCTGTACATGGATTAAATGTTATGTTTGAATATTTATTTGGAAATACACTTCAATAACGTAACTGCTTTTTGGCCTACCAGGTTGATTTTTTAGTTTGTCAGTAAATGTCATTGAGGATTTTTTCTTTTTTTTTGTGTTATTTTGTTATCTCTTTTCATTAGATTGCTTACAGCTCATTATTTATACAGAGCATTTAAATAGATCCTTACATTGCTCAAATGCGTAAAAGGTTTATTTTTTATTTTTATTGTGTATAAGATTTATGACTTCAGCAATTTAGCGCGAGGAATCTTACCACTTAAAATAGCTTTGGTAACGATGACTGGTTGGAGCTTCACACTGGTTCTGAAAATATTTATTGTTTAGTTAATAGGTGGTCATCTTATGAGAGATTTGGGTGCGAGTAGCTGATGCACGTTTTTATGAAACGATTCTTTGTGTTTAATAGGAGTCTGTTTGCTACACGATGACGCGAAATTTGCAGTACCACATCGTGAGTTGCTGGGTTTGTCGATTGATGTAAAACTGACAAGGCTTGTTTGCTTTCAATTTTTGTCAAGCATCTGTTAAAGCGGTTCTCTTGAAGAGTTTCGATATATATGAATATATATATATATATATATATATATATATATATATATTAGTTTATATATATATATATATATATATATATATATATATATATTATATATATATATATATATATATATATATATATATATATAGGCAAAAATGCTAACTCAAGGCGGATACTGGATAAGACTGTTTTCAATTATTTATTTATTTTTTTCATGTAGATGTAGTGCTTTTTTTTAAACGTCATTTGGGGTTAATAGTTATGAAGGTTTTTTATTATTTAACTCTAATATGAGGGTTAGTTTTAAATGTTATTGAGAGATTTACTTGTATACCTGTACGTACATTTTTGTTCGTTTACGAATTTTTTGGGCAGCTTATAAATAACTTGGCTGTAATAATGGTAGGAAATCTGTTAGGTAAGTACTGTTAGCCGTGTGGCATCATGTCGCAGAAGCAGAACATGAAGGAGTGAAGTAGTGGGTTGATTGATGCTGTTATTTCTGGTTGGATGTAATTCCTCAGTCTTTGTATTTGTGTCTGCGTGCTGAAGCGTTCTTGGGTCTGTGAATGTTTGTGTGTCTGCGTGTCTATGTGCCTGTTGATGTGTTCGTATGAGTGTTGGTATGTATATATGTTTGGGTTTTTGTCTGTTTCTGTGTCGTGTGTTGGTGAAATCGATCTTAAGGCAATGTGTCAATTGCTTTCGATACATCGGGAGAGTTTTCTCTGCTGTCTCTTTCTTGGCTTAGTGCGGATATGAAGTGTAATCATTAAGCAGTAAATTTTAATTTTTTTCAGTATCTCTCCACTCCTCGTTTGTCTCCTATAATGATGAAGAATTGTGGCTTTTAATGTATCAAATAATTATATTTGCTGTAGAAAGATTTAGTGATTTTTTTCTGTTTTGATTTTGTAGTATCTGAAAAGTTTTTTCTTTGTTGTATTTGCTATGCCATCAATGTTTAAAAAAGAGTGGATGAAACACCTATATAATTTTTTCTCCTATGTGAAACAGTGACAAACAGTATTTTCACTCAGGAGTGCGCAGCCGGTAGTTTAGGTTGGCATTTATTGATCAGTTATTTATGCAATCAGATGTTGTTATTATGTAAGCCGCATGCAAGTAGGACATAAAGTAAATTAGCGTTTGCTTTGGCGCATCAAAAGTTATATTCTGTTATGTTTGATTTGTGTTAATTTCATTATTTGATGCTTCTTAGTTTTGGTATTTCGCGTTCTATCATCAAGAAGAACTTGTGGAATTTTCTTTCAGAAATATTACGTTATGCGGCTCTGATTTGGAGCTTTTTTCTTTTTTGACTTAAATTTATTTTAGTCATTTCAGTAACTAACCATTCTTCTTAACCTAACGACGAGCTTCTATGTGGCTGAATGATAGTACTCAAACCGCCGAAACGACTTCCATAAGTCCATGGAATATGGAACAGCAGGTGTGTATTTCTTTGCTTTTATTACTGAGGTATTCCCACTTCTGGTGAAGAAATTCCAGTATTGAATTTGACTTAGTTTCGTTGAAAAATAAGGCATTTTTTAATATGCTTGGATGGTAAGAGTTGTTCTGGTTGTTTTGAAGTGTGTAATATGGTCATTTAAATAATTAATTGCTAAAGTCTTTTTGTTAAGTCTTGCCTTGTTTTGTAAGAATCCTTTTGCAGAGTCGTTGGGCAAATGGTGGAATTCAGTTAAATGGTTTAACGTCTTGTGATGAACGTTTACATAATCTCGTTCCGCCTGCATTTCGCAATGGGAGTGCTAAGGTCGTCTGGCAAGATCCTAAATCCTTGGGTAATCTTTGAATTAATTCTTATCTGTCAAAATCTTTCTTTGTATTCTGGAATACGCCGTAGACGATTGCATTTTGTTGTATCTTTTGTGCTGGTTTCAGTCTCTGTCAGACTGGGCTTGGTTTATTTTCATTTTCGAACTTCAAGTATAAAGGATTATTTTCTAGAAGCTAATGTGAACGAAGCATTGGGAATTACAAATTGTTACGGGGCTCCAAATTCACAATTCTCCGAGCAGAACGGACTCAACGGTAAGAAGGCATTTAGAATTACTTTGAATTCATCCTACTAAATTTCAGAGATCAATTGAACTTTTGCTGGTGACTGAGTAGAATTTCAATTTTTTGCAAGGTTTTCATAAATTTTTTAGAAGTTTATTTTATTTCCTTTTTTTGCACCTTTCGGTCACTGTTATATGAAGCGAGGTAAAACTTGATTCAGCTGCTCAGCGGGCGTAGGTCAGCTTGGAAAAGTAGTTTTGCCGGGCTCATTATTTTGTGATTTTGAAGTTGGTGAGATAAAGAGGTAGAAATTTTTGGAGGGGTAGAGATTATCTGCATTTAGTTTGAGGAAGCTGAGAACTCTGTAGGATAGCAAATAGACAATAAGGCACGACGAAGAAGTTAATCTTAATGGATTTTATTCTTAGTAAATGAAGGTGTTGTTTGTGATATTTTTGTATGCAGTGTGCTGGCCATCAAGAGAAAAAGTGTCGGGAGTATTCGTGATTTGAGCAGTTAATCTATGAACGTCGGAAATAATGTTTCTCATATTTTAGTGTCAATGTTTTTAGTTAGTTCTTTTGCTAAAATTTCTCAACTTAAGGTGGTTGGAGTTTTATGCTTTCAGTCAGCGATTTCTCGATTTTCATTATTTAATGCAAGGGAGATTGATTTGACGTTTAGTGTCTCTTATTACTTAGAATTTCCTGTTTTTGTACATCCGTGCTACTGATGAGGACAAGAGCAAAGTTGAGCAGATGAACATTTTTTCCATAGGAATGTGTTGTTATTACGTGCATAATTTGGAATTCGTACATTTATGGAATCATTTTACAGCATGAATATAGATGATGTCAAGTATACGTTGCTTTGCGGCTAATTTTTGTACGAAATTTATCTTATTGTGTAGCAAAATTAATTTTTTTTCTTGATTTGTTTAGAAATTTTAGTCGCAAATTGAAATTTAAAGTTTTAGAGTTTACGGTAGCTTGAACCTCATCTCTGATTAGTTGCTATACGAGGAGCTGTAGCTACTTCAAATTTATGGAATTCTTATGTAGAAATAATGGACTGCTAGTCATGAGACTAAGTCTGTTATATGAAATTTTTGGTTTTTTACAATAGTATTCTTATATCCAAACTTGATCAGCAGAATAAAGTAACAGCAATAACTTTAGGTAATGGTCATTAATTGCTCTAACTTCCTGTTCTGTAGTGGAATGTTGTACTTCTGTCAAGATTTTTTTCTGATTTTGAGAAAAATTATTTGAGTAGCGATAGTTTAATTTAATGCATCTGATTTTTAGGCTTTGCATTTTATCCTTTTTTAGACTTTACAATATTCGTTTCAGTATCTATTCAAAGCTCATATGCGGGTGGTGGTAGTGCATGGAACCAAAGTGAAACAGGTCTCGTTTTTGAAATTTTTGCGGTAGATTTATAGTATTTTATTGTGTTGTTTATTACAGTTTGATGCTGCCTTACTTTTGTTGTTTTCATGCACCTAGTTTTAAAATTTTTGAGACAACGGTAAAGTTATTTTTTGATTCACTTGGGACTTGTTTTGAAATAGTCTTTTTTTGACGCATTTTATGAAAATTTCATTTAGTTCGTCCAAATCTTTGGGAATACAACACAACGTCATCTGCACCTTTACCGAATGGATTTGGTGGTCCAGTTTTGGGTGGAAACGGAATACAGCCGAAGGGTTGGTGTGGCTCAGAAGAGCAATGGGATACTTTATCAAAGAGGAATGTTTCGTTTGCTTATGGTCCGCCTCCTGCTTTTAACAACTCAGGAAACGGTGGTATGTTATTGATCGCTTCAGGTTATCTCTTTTGTTTTACATGTAATGATTAGTAAATTTCAAGCTTGGCAGCAGAATGGTGTTCGGATTCCGCCACCAGGAGCACGGTTTACTCCATCTACTCCTTACGACGGGAATTTGCTAAATAACCCGACAATGCAATCTTCTGGGATGCCATCACCTATTAGTGCCCCTCCTCAGAGGAGTCGTTTGCAGAGCCTTTGGAGCGCCGGACCAGCGGCTAATAACGTTATGGCTGGAATTTGTGTTCCTCCTCCGAATCGCGAATACAACGTTAGTCGTATACCTTTTTGAATTTTTTTTTTGCTTTATTTCAATCGTTTTGTTTGTTTTTATACTTTGGTTAGGTACTTTATATTTAGATGTTAGTAGTACTTTTGCTCCAATGAAGTTGATGCATTTGGAAAGAACTATATCTGAATTCTCTGACAGTATTTTGGAATTAATTTGTTTATTGCGTTTTTGGTCAAGACTGAACGGATTTTAGATGCTCAGTTCTTCTGGTCCCTTTATGCCACCAGCCCCAGTTAATCCCGTTGGGTACGGAATGCCAAAAAAGCAGTACGGTCCACCATTTACAAACTCAGTTTCATCACAAATGCCTATGGGCCCAGTAAATTCTTCGGCGCCAAGTAACTCGGTGATTGATTTTACATTAATTCATGTTCTTTTCACTGCGTCTTGTCATCTACATGCCTTTTTATATTTCTACTTTCTCTGATGCTTTGTGTAAAATTCATTTGTTTTTGACCCATTGAGTTTGTTTTGGGCTAAAGGATACTTTTATAGTTCATGGGGGAAGATTCAGTATGGCAGGATCCAAATCAAGAATTACGGAAATGGCAGCGCGATACTGGGACTGCCATCTGGGGCGATCCTGAGAAGCAGACAAGTAACTTATTTACTTGGTTTTGTTGTTACTTTTTTAAAAAATTACAGATGTTCGTATTCCTTTTACGTTTCCGTTCTTTTTTTTGAGGAGAAATTCGCCGCTGGCTCCCTCCGTTAGAGGACGAGGATGGTTTAAGCACCAGTTCGGATCCTAAACGTAACTTTTGGGAAATCTCTTGCATGATCAATAGCCTTTACATATCATTTTTTAGAATGTACTATTTCTAGGCAAAAAGATCATACCACTGGGTTGGGGAGATCTTCCCGTCTCATTTAATTCTTCAAAGTCTCCTGTCAGCACTAGCAGCGGCTTTTCGTCTATTGGACAACCAACAAATTGGGCAAGAAAGTCATCACAGCCGGTTATACCATCGTCCAACAGTTACCTTCTTTCACTTTTCAAGTTTATTAGCATTTTTCGTTTTTCGGCTTTTTAGTAGCAACTATATTTTCTGCAGGCTTGTTTGATTCGTCTCTGCTGAATAAGACATTGTCTTCTCAGACACTTAGTAAAATAAGTTCGGTACTTGGTCAGGATGAACTTGCGTCGCTTGTTGCTGCAGTTCAGATTGTACGTATTTACTGCGCTCTTAAAACTTTTTGGATTCCCTAAAATTTTCTAAAACTCGAGTGGAGCGATCTTTAGTTCTTCTAAGTAGATGTTTTTATTCATCGTAAAAACGACTTCGCCAAATACGTTTTAGGTTTCAACTTATCTATTTTTTGTTCGGTTTGTAAGGCTTGATGCCGAATTTTTTTTAGAATTCTGCGATGAATGGAGACGGTGCGCTGACGGCAGGCAACGTACCATTTAGTAATGCTTTTAGTGGGATTGGAGATCCGCTTAAAGCAGAGTTACGTGATGGATTTACGTCTGTGAAGCTAAGTATTCCCGAAACTCGTGGTAAGGGCCGTGATGCGACTGTTGGAAACGTACGTTACTTCTTTTTTGAATGCTGATGAACTTTGTTCCATACTGCTTGCTTTTCTCCATTCTCTTCTAATTTTATTGCTGCTCTCAGTTTCTTATATGTGGGAATATAGGTCTTCATTTTTTGCTAATGTGGAGGGTTCACTTGTGTATTAGTGTAGCGTTTTCAAGCGGATGCAGGGGAACTTTCTTAATAGCTCTTCGGTGCAATGGCTTTTTTTATTTTGTGGAAGGAGAAAGAGTGCAAGTTATATTTAGAAACCGGGGAGGTTTTAACGCGTTTGATTACAGAAAGTAACCAGCTCCTTTTCTGTCTGGTGACAACAGATTTTGTGCTTTTTATTATTTATCTTTCTAAAGGACCAAATATAGTCGTGGAAGGCGCATTCAGAATCGTTAAAGTTTGAGTTTCTGAGATTTTTGCACAGTAATTGCTTGTATCCTAGATTTTAGAAGGATTAAAAAGGTCAATAATTTTTGGTGCCTTTGAGAAGCTGAAAGAATTCACGCTTTTGGAGAGTTTTTTCGACGTAAGGCGAAAATTCTTTGTAGTTCTGTTCTGGCTTATTTTTATTGGTAATGGTAGCGTCTACTTTTATTTATCCGGTGGAAACGTAGAGGTGAGATTCTGTTCCCACTTATAAGAAGTACTGTGGTGGGTTTTTTTGTCATCACTCTTTAACCACTTGAGTACTCAAGAAAATATGGAAATACTTCTGCGTTCTTGATGAGGAATCTCGTCCTGTCATCACGGACATAGCCATTTTGTTCATTTTATCAACCGTGGTGGAAAAGCAGCGACGTTTGGTTCGCTTAATTTTTGTAAGAACGGAGGCTTGCTGATCACTCTGTGGTAGTTTTTTTTAGGGGTTAGCTGCTCTAAGTGAGGCAGCGACAGCAACTATGCCTCGTTTTGGCGATAGTTTGCTTGACGTGACGACGGGTTTGGATCAGCCTAAATCTTTGTTCTCATTTTGAAGGCAGAACATCTAGTCATTTCAATCTGCCTTTCGATAATTTTGGATCCGAATTGGACTGTCTTCAGGGGCTCATTCTTTGAGGTGTTGATTTCATTTTTATTTTTACTTGTATTTATAGCTGTTACGTATGGTTTGATACTGTTTGGCCATTTCATTGGGATGACTTTTGCAATCGTCATCACTAAGTCACGTATTATGCTTTACCTTCTTGATTATTCTCAAAGTTGGAAAAAGTATGGCTCAGTAATCTCAGATTGCTTCTCCTACCTATAAAGTAACTCGGTTTTTAGTGTACTGCTGGTCTTTTCAGAAATCTTCTCATCAAATCCACTTGTCTTTCTCAAATCTAAATGGGTCGTTATTGTCTTGTAGTCTAGTGCAAGTATTAGTGTTATATTCAGATAGCCTCTTTGTATTTCTTCGTGCACTTTTACGTGTAATCTAAAATTTTTTCGTTCACAAAGTCGGCATGCTACACTGTGAGAATAGGTAAATTTCTTTTTGTTTTGTTAATTTGTTTTCCAGGAACTTTTTTTGAAATTTCTGCTAGTTGAATCAAGTTCAAAAATTTACCTATTCTGCTTCTCGCGATCATAGAAAGCTGATTAATAGAATTGTGATCACTTTTTCCTGGTGCTCAGAAAAGATGGTGTCTTTATTTACACAGTTTTTAGTATATTTGTTGAGAGTTCTAGAACGTGGATGGCATTTTCATGGTAAGGTGTTCTAGCACATTCCTCATCTGAATTGCTCAACGCGAGGCCAATGATCAAGAACTTTTTTTACTCATGCTTCTTTATTTTAAGGCACAAAATTGTCTAACCGTTTTTTCAGGGTTTTTATGGCTTTATTATTTCTTCGAATATTTCTTTCTTTCTAAATTTATTGCTTTAGCACCCGGTGTTTGGAATTAGACTCTTGAGTTCTGAAAACTGATTCTGTAAGCAACGTGTTCAAATGCTCGTGGTGGAAGGTTGTTGCTTTCATAATTGTATTCCCCATAATTTTTAAAATAGTTTGTTGGAAGCAAATTCGTTCTTCAGTTGCGCATTGTTGCCTAAAATTTTTAGTGATATGATTCGAACATTCAATTCCTGTTGCATTTATGTTTAATAGTGTTATGCCCACTGTGTATCTTGCCGCATTTTCGTTTCATATTGCAGCCACGCCCGTTTAGAAACTTCACGGTCTGCTAGAATTGCCACTGTTTTACCATCGTATCCATAATGTGAGGCTACTTTGAGTTATTCTGGAGGTTTGGCAGCAGGAAAGTTCCTCAGATTTGAAATGTATTTGAACCTTTTTTACAGTTGGTCTTTGTTCAAATTTTTAATTTAACTATGTTTTCTTTCTGGCCACATATTGATCTTTTTCATTATTTATCGCAGCTCATTCTTGTTGATATTTTATCCACGCATATTTTCTAACCAAAAAAGCCATTAATAATTGGTTATATCTCTGCGGCGTTATGAGTTGCCAACAGTTGCATATTTTCGTTGATCTCGATTGATTTTTCTTGTCTCAAATTATCTTTTGACTTTTTATTTTTATTTTTTGAACTAAAGTAGATTTTTTTAAACGGTATCACAGTGTATATGTGTGTATGTGTGGCAGTTGGCATGCTCAAAAATGATCGCGATAGTGATGCAGATAATCATTCGGTTTTTTATTCGGGTACTTCCAGTAGTTTTTCCACTATTATTTCTTCCTGCCTTTGGTTGTTCTTACTTTATTTAGGATTTCGTTTATTTCCACTTTTGTTATCCTAGGTGTTTGCTGCACTGTATAATTTTTCCTTTGTTTGGATTTCTATCGCAGTCGATTTCGCATAAGTTTTTTTTTTGTTTAGGAGCATTTGTATGAGGAAGTTTTGTGTAACATTTGTTTCCTATAAAAGAAAAATCACAGTTTTTAAAGTTTTTTCATTTTCTTTGGCCCAACAATGATGTCTCGCTTCTTTGATGGCATTTGTTAGAATCGTATCGCGATATGGCTGTGACCTGTGTTGTTCTGCGTGCAAATTGCTTTTTATGTTAAATTCTGTTATCTACCGTACTTCTTTACGTGTATGCGTGATCTTTTATATGCTGTGATTGTCATCCATAATGAGTGATGAAGCTTAATTCATTGACTCATTAACCTCTCTAGATGAGTGGTTTGGATGTGATTTTGTTTTTAAACGGGCAACCGCAAGCAATCGGCTACATTTGCCTATTCATTTCGCTGTGCCATTTATAATTTTCATATATTTCATGTTAACGTTTGAACTTATCTGGGTTTTTCCTAAATGATGTTTCCTTTTTTGTATCTGAGCAAATTGTCGAGAACTGTAAGGTGAATATTGCTTACCATAAGCTGTTAGAAGCACTTACATACTGAACCTGTATGCTCGAATTATCTTACTTCATTTTTTTATTTTATAATCTTTTTTGTCCTTTTTTCTTTTTTGTTGCGAAGGGTGGGTCTAAAGTTAAAGGGTAAAATAGATAAGAAAGGAGACAGTAAGCATAGTGTTAAGGGGAAAGGTAAGGAAGAGTGAGTGAAGGTAATAGTAACAAGTGATTAGGAAAAATAAATAATATTAGTCATGGAGCTTTTTAATTCCGTGAAGTAGGCGATAGTGAAATGAGAGGTGCTTGTCGAGCAGATCTGGTGACTCGGACACTAAAATCTTTTCGACTTCTTTGGGGTTGGCATGCGTTTGTCGGTGTTTAGGCTAAAAAACAGGTTTGTTGTTGTTCTATTTCCGTGGTAACGATACTGCTTCTGCTGGTGCTTTGATATGATAGTGACGTGTGTATGTGTGTGAGTGTGAGTGTAAGTGTGAGTGTCTGTGTGTGTGTACGGTGTCTCTTTTGATATGCGTCTACTGCGCCGTTTATTGTTGGTCATGTATTGATTATATTCGTATTGTTGCCGGAGTTGTTATGCATGTTGAGCAAAAATTCGGCGTTTATCTGCTTCACGATGGCATTGAAAGCTATGTGTATATTTTTTTTATTGTTCTATTGTAATACATTGCAGTTAGAATCGGTAAATTCAACTTTTATGCCCCCTTTGCAATAATATTGTTCATAAATTTTGCTTCTAGTGTCAGTATCGAATCAACGCTGGGTAGAAAAGAAAAGCACGAAAAATATGTACATGTTACACAGTCAGTGGTCATGGTTTAGAGTTGGCTAGGTACCAAAAGTAGTTTTTAGCCAAGAAAGTAAGAGACAAACAGCAGATGTTGTTTACAACAACTGCTTACTGGCAGATAATGTTGTCAAATTATGGTTGCAGTCTGTTGTAATAGGGTAGAATCGGCAGAATTGTTTGGTATAATTGAGGTTTTTGTCGATTGGCGAATCATTTACGATTTTAAGAGAGTAGGCTTCGATTGGCGGTATCACTTTGCACTTAAAATTTATCAAGAGGCCTTGAATGTGCAAAACATAGTTTTTTTTTGTGTAGGAGTTATAGGTTTTGGAAGGTAGCGGGATTTTTGGCCAATGCTTCAGAATGCCTTATGCCTACTGGAAATTTGGTGTTTTTTGTGTGTCATATGCCTCACATTTTAAAGCTGAAGAAAACGTTACCTAACGGTTAATCTGTTAGTTGTGGAGTTGAAGAGCGGTCAAGGCATAACTGCACTTGTATAGCAGGACGGACGAGCTTGAAACAGTTGTGAGGGAAAATTGAAAAGATAACTACTTTTGATTTAACGAGTTTAGATCTACTGGAAATTTATCTAATTTGGCATATACGAAAGCAATAATTTTTGTGTAAGTTGAGATGGTAAAAATATTGATAGCGACAAGTGACGTGGTATACAGTTATACGTGCAATGCTTGAAGAATGGTTTCAAGCTGGCTACTAAGTTTTTTGTGGTCAATAAGCTATGCTGAGTAAGAATTTAATACGAGAACGTTTAGGTGTTTATTACGTTTACATATTCTTGGACTGCTGTCACCAGTATAGATTCATACTCGTTATTGTCGGTGTTGTTGCTGTTGTCGTTTCCTTCCTGTTCGTTGCTTTTGTTGGTAGTGGTAGTGGTGTAAAAAGTCTGTCAGTGATTCATTGACAGATGAAGTGGAAAATGTGATGTCTTTCCTAAATTTCACTGCATCAACTGCATTTTCTGGTTTATTCGTTTTAATGCATAGTTTAGTGTTCATTTTATTTCTTCACTTCTCCTACCTTTCTACCAGGAGGAGGACCAAGAGGTAAGGAGACGAAACAAAGATTATATACATATATATATA